GCTGGCTGGGGAATTCTGGGAGTTGAAGTCCACCCATCTTAAAGTTGCCTAAGCTGAGAAACACTGGCCCAGCCAGTGTTCAACAGTGCAAAAAAAAAAAAAAAAAGGTGGGGAAACAACAAAAAAATTGTCTCTTTCCTACCACACCATGATTCTCACACAATTGTAAGATTTTCTTTTCTTTTATACACTGCCCAGAGTCACACTATTTTGAGTTGACAGCCATACTCATGTTATAAATCACTCACTCAATCAGTCAAAGTAGTGATACAGATAGTCCCCAACTTATGAACGAGTTCCGTTCCCAAGGTCTGTCCTTAAATTGAATTTGTATGTAAGCCAGAACAGTATATTGTATAATACTGTACAAGTAGTATGGTGTAATGAACTCGAACCATTATGTATTTAACTCAGATTTTGCTACAATAGGCTCCGTTCTTAACTATGAGCCGTCTGTAATCCGGGCGTTCTTAACCCGGGGATCACCTGTACTGAGGACAAACTTTTCTAACCAAATCTTAATGCCTGGAGACAGGCATGTGGGAAAAGGCATTGAGGTTCACATCAGCTCATCCTAAGGTTTCCCTCCCTCATCCTTAGTATTAAGTATTAATAATTAAGTAATAATTAAGTAGTATTAAGCATTATCTTCAGGCTCTTCTCTGGCTGTTGCATCTACAGTATATATTCTGAAATGTTTTGCCCTGCATTTGATTTGAAAGCAAAAAGGCTGTGGTTTTGTCTGGTTGCCACCTAGGGAAAAAAAACCCACGTGGTTTAAATGTTCAGACTGAATCCAAGGGGTTGGAGTGTGCAAAAATAACTGGTCAGCTTTAGCACCCCTCCTGGGCACACCGAACAGCCACGATGAACGGGTAGAAAGGTGGGACAGAAATGGATTAAATAAAAATAAATAAGATACACCCAACTCCCCATGCAGATAATTAAATTCCAGACACCAGGAAAGGTAATTGAAAGCCCCATGATGACAGCTCTAATATAACTTACATTAACAATTTTTAAAAATATATTCCACGGGGGTCCTCAAGGCAGAAAAGCCAGCGAAATGAAACACACCAAAAACATCCTGCGTGATCTGAAGGCCCTTTTGATGTTAGCGGGCTTCAGAGCCCATCAGCCTCATTCTGGCCAGTCGTCAGAGATTACAGGGGTTGAAGCCCACCCATGTTTAGATTTTTAGACTTAGATTTCTGGCCTGAGATCTAATGCAGGCAAAGTCGATCTGACGTTGGGGGTCTCTGCTTTTTTCGGCTGCCCCGAAATCATAGCACCAAAATTCAGCAACACAATCGTTCTCTGATATTTCCACTTGTACTAAAGCACACATTTTCTTTTAAAAACACACAAAGCAATCCATAAGGGGGGGGTGGAGAAGAGAAAGAAAATCTGCCCCTAACTCAAAAAACAAAAACAAAAAAGTTTGTAGCAGAAACCCTTACAGTCCCCAAACTCCTAGCATCGGTGACAGAAGGATCTGCTCCAAATCCAGAATTCTCTGTGACAGAGAAGATGTCACAGGCAATCAGTTTTTAAGTCCCGTGACCCATCGCTAAGCCGAGTTTGGGTTTATATGATTTATTTGAATGTATTAGCCACCCAGTTCCAGTGGACTCTATTGTTTATGGCCTGTATTTGATCTATTTTTATTGTCAGCCGCCTACAGTCGCATATGTGAGATGGCGGCTACATAAATCAACAATAAATAATTTTTTTAAAAAAAAAATCTACTCTGAATGCAAATTTTTTTCTTAGAAAAAATAAAGGACAAACCTGAAAAAGGGGCAAATCTGAAAGAGGTTCCTAATTCATTATGTTTATGACTTTGCTTTGCAGAGGAAATGTCAAGAGCAAACCCCAGAAAACCTTTACAAGAACACATATTCTGATCAAAATATCTAAAATCAAACCGTATAGGTCAATGTATTTTAAAAAGTCACTTCGATTTCTGTATATTTCCCACGAATGTGAAAGTTCACTGGTACCATCGGCAGAGTAAAAGTTAAACGACCACAGTAAAGGACAAAGGTGAGTTTTTGGAAAAAAAACCCAAAAAGACAGCTTTCTGAAATAAATAAATAAATAAATAAAGGAAGGAAGGAAGGAAGGAAGGAAGGAAGGAAGGAAGGAAGGAAGGAAGGAAGGAAGGAAGGAAGGAAG